TTTTTTTTTTTCCCATTTTCAAGTAAGTTTTTTTCCAGACAATGATGATGGTTTGACCACCGTGGTGGCCAGATTGAAAAGGATTATTGTTCTTCATTAAGGAAAGGTAGATTGAGGGATATTACTTTAGTGCTTTTAAACAGGAGAAAATTTGTGAACGGAAACAAAAAAGCCACTTTATTTTCAACCTGAATAAGAATTTAATCTCTTGATGTCTTGAAATTACTTTTCCACAAAGTTGATATATAACAAAGAAAAGAATCAAATTTGTTCTTTTCTCCTTTTCTTGGTTAAGTAGTCTGTAATGGTTCATAGACCTAAAAGACTTCATTTAAAAGTAATCCAAGAACTAAAAAATAAGCAGAAAAGATACAGAAATGTGAAATCCCTGACTCTGTACTTTCAATATGGAAAGCAAAAAACCTAATACACCAAGTTGTAGGCTGTCAGAAGAGATCAGGGAAGCTTATATGGTAGAATCTGTAACTCCTTCTCTGAAGAGACAAAGAAAGCTGTTAAGAATATGTGGAGTATGATTTAGGTTAATTTTTCATAGTTTTGAAAGATTTTGTTTCATGTTTTGGTGGGACTGGGGTTTGAACTCAGGATGTTGCACTTGCAAAGCAGGTGCTCTACTGCTTGAGCTATACCTCTGGTCCATTTTTGCTCTGGTTATTTTGGAGATGGGGGTCTCTCGAACTATTTCTCCAGACTGGCCTTGAACTGTGGCTCTCCTGATCTCAGCCTCCCAAGTAGCTAGGAATACATGTGTAAGCCACTGATGCCCAGACAGTTTTGGAAGACTTTTAAGATAGGAAGCAACTCAATAGTAATATGATGAATGACCTCAGTGTGGAAACTAGTTTAAAACTGGCTGCCTGTGTTTGTGTGTGCTTTTAGTTGATTTTAATATTACAAACCTTATACATATATACAGTTTATTAGAATGTAAAAGGAGATAAAAAGGACTAGAAAGGTTGTTTTTCTTTAAAAATATGAAACTTTTTTTTTTGATGGTACTGGGGTTTGAACTCAGGCTCTTACTTGCTAGGCAGATGCTCTACCACTTTAGCTATACCACCAGATCTTCTTTGTTTTAGTTACTTTTCAGGTAGGGTTTTGTATTTTGCCAAGGAATGGTCTCAGACTGCATCTTCCTACCTACTACCTTCCTCATAGGTATCACAGAAGTGTACCACCATGCTTGGCTTGAAAGTTTTGTTTTAGATGCTGCTGTTTTCCATATGCTCAGATAAACAAGTTATGACTCCTTGCCTTTAAATATTTATCTAGTGAGGTGATTAAAACACTGTATTAGAGTTTTCCATAGAGAAAGAACCACGTGAGGAAATTTCTTATGACAATTGGCTTATGCTTTTATGGAGGCTGACAAAGGCCCCCATAAGCTGTCTACAAGCTGCAGAACCTGGGAAGCCGATAGTTTTAACTATCAGTCAAGGCCAAAGGCCTGAGACCTGAGAGGAGGTTTGCTGGTGCAAGTCTTGGTGTCCAAAGAACCTGTGGTTCTGATGTCCAAAGACAGGAGAAGAAGGGTGCCTCAGCTCCAGAAGGGAGAAAATAAATTTACCTTCCTCTGCCTTTTTGTTCTGTGTGGGCTCCCAGTTGATTGGATGGTGTCTGTGCTCACTGAGGGCAGTGTTCCTCACCCAGTCCGTGAATCCAGTCACCTCTGGAAACATCCTGGAGAACACGTGTAGAAATAATGCTTTACCAGTAATCCAGGTATCCCTTAATCCAGTCAAGTTGACACTGAAATTTGCCATCACAGGTAGATACAGTGTGTATCATAATGGAGAACAAAATTTGTTAGGAAGGTAGATGATTTGCTGATGTATTAATTGATGGCTCAGTACAAATTGCCTGTCTCATATTGTGTACAAGATGAATTCCATGCTTTATCTTCTCTAGTAGGTTTTCCACCTACTCTTAGAAAATGTTTTGATATGTCAAGTTTGGCTTTGTATAAAATAATAATGATTTTAATAACTGTTGAAAGTTCATTTTATCTATAGTGTTTCTACTAATAACAAATTTCTTTCTCCTTAAAAGTTTTTTAATCAGGTTCTGATGCTTGGGAAAACATCTATCAGCGATTTGTCAGAGCATGTCTTTGACCTAATTTTGGAACTGTACAATATTGATAGTCATTTGCTGCTGTCTGTTTTACCCCAGCTTGAGTTTAAATTAAAGGTAACTATTGTAAAAATAATGATTCTCTCAACCAGGTTAGCAAAGAGCATTATTTTTGGCTTTTAAATTCTTACCATAGTTTTAACTGGATGTAACAGATGAGGGAGTATCTTACCATTATTTACTCACCTGGTGCTTTGCCTGTCTGTGTATCTCCAGTGCTTGGCATGGTGTCTAGCAGGTAATAGCTGCTTAATGAATGTTTAGTAGCATGACATTTTACTACACATTCTGTTTTCTGGATTGATTCTAGGATTTGGCTAACTCTTGTGATCATAGCTATGCATTGAGTTATATTTTCAAAGTGGTATTGATAGCAGATCCCTTAATTGGGCCATAAAAATAGTCTAGAGCTTATTATACACATAGTGTGAAGTGTTTTCTTTCTTTTTTTTCTCATTTTCTTTGTTTTGGTGGTACTGGGGTTTGAATCCAAGGTTTCACTCTTGTTAGGCCAGTGTTCTACCACTTGCTCAATGCCCACAGCCGTTTTTGGCTTTACTTATTTTTCAGATAGGGTCTCATGTTTTTGCTTGGGATGGTCTTGGGGACTGTGATCTTCCTACCTGTGCCCCCTGCCATAGTTAGGTTACAAGCGTGCACACCAGCATGCCTGGTTTATTTTTTGAGATGAGGATCTTTTTAGTTTTTTGTGGGTTGGCCTTAACCTTCTGTCTTTCCAATTTCTGTCTGCTAATAGCTGGTATTGCAGGTGTGTGCTACCATGCTTGGTCCTGAAATGTTTTCCTTTAGTCTTACTATTGTATAGTTCCCTATGTTGGAAGTTTGTTTACTTTTCACATAGTGATCTGTGAACTCTTTTATTAGCATGCCCTTATTGTCTTGGGATTAAATTATGCTGTAAAATTGAGGTTGTTTCCAGAGTTGGGGAATATGCTTTCCTCTGTCAAATCATTACAGGAAGATTAAATAAAGCTGGTTACATAATTATTAACCTTTGATGATCCCAATGAAAAGGTCTTAAATGATTTCCATGTGGCATGTCTTATTTCTAAAAATTTTGATTTGCCCCTTTCAAAACCAAAATAAAATAATTCACATTGGTAGTATGGACACTCTAAATAACCAGTAAGTTATTATCCTTATTATAGGCTGCAATATGTTTTTGGTGTATTTTTCAAGTGAGCCATTTGATTACTTGGCCTCCCTGCACCCTTCTTAATGTGGCTAGCAATTTTGGTGAGGCAAGATAGTCACACTTCTAATTATTTGTTGGTTTATCTGATTTTCTCTAGTAAAAGCATAGAGTAAACGCTATGCGCATTTTCCTACACACTATGAGAAATGTAAAAATAAGGAAGTTATCATCCCTGCTTTCAGCCAACTTAACATCTAGTATGGGAGGAAGAGGAAAAAAAATCCAGATCTAATAAGAGGCCAGATATTGTAAGTGTCGTAAGAGATACAAACAGCATACAATTGAAGCAAAGGATACAGCATGCAGAAGCATATAGAGGTAGGAAGGTGCTGGATGAATTTGTGGAACACAAATAATTATAGTTGGAAGGTTAGTATAAGTTTTAAGTCACTCCTATGAATATTAGAATCTGCTTGTGGAGCCTTAGTAAATAAGTAGTTTTCCAGGTGAATCAGAATTTATGTGAGTTAAGTCCAGGCATCAGGTTGGTTTGTTTTGAAGCTTCAGAGATTATTGTAATGTAGTCACAGCTGAGAAGTACTTATTTAGAGATCAGTTAGGTCATATTGAGTGGTAGCTTGAGGCATCTCTTTTTTTCTTTAAAAACAATTGTATAGTGCTATTCAGAGCACCCTGAATACTAGTGTTGTTTGATAGACCTGATTGCTACACTTTATGTTTAAGTCTAGCATTGTGACTTGCTCATTCATTTCACTGTTGTGTCGTTGGTGGTGCCAAACTCAACAGTAATAACAAGTTTTCATATTCAGAGTGCCTGCAACATAATATTTAAGTTAGAAATTCTAACTTTTGCATATGCAAAGCATTGTCATTATGCTGTTGAACTTCCTTCAGGAATCTGGTACATGTAGATTAATTGACTTTCCTATTGGGAGACTTCAGCACATAATTGTTTCTAAAGTACAGTCAAGCAGAGTTCTCTGTTTACTGTAGGCCTGGCCTCTACCAGTGTTTGCACATTTTTTTTCAAGAGGTTTTGGTAGGGTTTTGAATTGGAGACTGATTAGAAATAAGCCTCAATTACGGGAGGGGCCTCTTAGATTTAATCAAACTTTTGAGACATTTTCATGTAAGAGTACTGCTTTAATGTAATTTGAGATGATTAGAGCACTTGTTATGCCATTTAATTTTGTGAAAGGTATAGTGAGCATTTTTATGTAATTTATCATTTGGGGCTCATAAAAGATTTTCTGTGAATTGGAGAATAAGGACAGTCATGGAGTAGGTTATGTTCTTCAATTTCTACTTCATAGTTTTAAAAGCAGTTGTGTTTTGTTTTAGAGTAATGATAATGAGGAACGACTCCAAGTTGTGAAGCTGCTGGCAAAAATGTTTGGGGCAAAGGATTCAGAATTGGCTTCTCAAAACAAACCACTTTGGCAGTGCTACTTGGGAAGGTATATGATTTTTGGTTTACTGTTTAAAAGTAATACATGTTTTTATCTACTTAGATTTTTTTTAAACATTATCCACGTATAGCTATGTTCTCTGAAATAATAAAAATGAAGGTTTATGCATTTAAATTTTGAATGTTGTGTAACAGTTGACTGTATTTAAAATTTGCCTTAATCTTTTTAATCTTTTGTCCTTAGTAATTTTTAAAAGTTGATACCTTTAAAAAACTATTTCATGTGATATTTCAACTGTAAAATTAAAATGTATTATTTTAATGCCGGGATTAATTCCAGTTGAAAATGCCTCTTGGGGAGACATAGCTTCTCTACAAAAAGCTGTATTTAATTAGGTTATTTGGAGATACTAAAAGGATAAAATTATAAACCATACAAAAAAATAAATGATTGTATTTCCTAATTTTTCTTCAATATTTCTTAATTAAAGGGAAGTGATAAACTGGGTTCCTCATTCTTTTAGTGGTCCATAAAACTTTGGCTGAAAAATTTTGAGTGTGTTTATATTCTTTTCTGTGGGGGTGGGTTCATTTCCTTACTTTTTCTGCAGAGGTCCTGACCTTGATAATACTAAAAGCACTATAGATATTCTGACTGAAACCTACTTTGACCCTGAAAAAAAGGAGGATTTTTTTTTTATTGCCTCAAATTATTATCATAATAAACAATGCAGTTAAGTCATTAAGAAACCAGTAAATAAAATAGGATTTAAAGATTCTGATTCTATTTTTGGTTCCCTCCTTGGGGGTGGGGCAGTATTGGGGTTTGAGCTCAGGGCCATGTGCTTGCCAGGCAAGCCCTGGACCACTTAAGCCTTTCTCCAAAGTCCCTGTTTTGCTTTAGTTAGATGTTTTTTTTTGGCCAACAGCCAGCCTGGACCATGATCCTCCTATTTATGCCTCCCTTGTAGCTGGGATCACAGGCATGTGCCCCTACACCTGGCTTCTTGATTGAGATTGGGGTTTCACTAACTTTTTGCCCAGGCTGGCCTCAAACCATGACTAACCTACCTTCTTTCCTTTTACTTCTTCCTTCCCTCCCTTACTTACTCAGGTCCTCATGCTTGTAAGTGCTTTACCACTTGAGCATCCATCCCCCTCCCGTCCCCCCAGTCCTATTGCTGTTATCTTTGTGTTGAAATACTTCCATTGGTTTCACCACTTTTCTTTTCCATTTTAATAACAATTCTTAGTTATTATAGTAAATCTAATCCTTTGGTCTGGTTTTTTTTTTAAATATGCACAGTGAAGATATAAATCTACGTATGTGTTTGTTGAGCTTTAAATTTCTAATCTCATTTTTTAGTTTTTATGTCACTCAATGAGAATATTTAATTAGGAAGTTAATAAATATTAGCACATTGTGATTTTTTTTTCCCCTTGGCAGTGAGGGACAGTATTTTATAAGTTTAAATTATGTAACCCAATTTCAAGTCTATTTCATTTAAGGTTTTGGAGCAGAAATACACTTTTAATGTACAGCCATACATCATTTAAGGACAGGGATAATTTTGAGAAATGCATTGTTAATTTTGTTGTATACTTACACATACTAGGATGGTTAAGACATCACAGGTAATTTTAATGGACTACTGTTGTATAAATCATATGACATTGACTAAAATGTTGTTAGGTGATACATTGCTGTATAAATATTTGTTGTATTTTTAAATTAGGACTTGGACTGGCCAGACTTATTTTATAGGTTTCCAGGGGGAAAACTGTAATTTAAACATATGTCACTTTTTTGTTACTTTGTAAATTTTCCTCTTAATATTCATGGCATGAAACAGTATTAAATATTACTGAAATTTGAGGTGAGGGTGTTGCTTAGTGGTTATAACACTAACCTAATGTGCACAAGGCCTTGGGGTTTGATGCCCAGCACCACAAAAACAACAACAACAACAACAAAAAAACAAAACCACCCTCAAAGTAAAACAAACAAAACTCCACCAAACCAAGGATCTAAAATATTTTAAAGATGTTTTAGTATTTCTGTTATAACAATTTTAAGTTATATGGTTAGTTGATAAATGATAAAAGTATATAGGACTAAATACTTTTATTCAAAACACTCAAACATGTGCCCATAGGCTAGATTTTACAACTGTTTTTTAGAGAGGGAGACAGAACTTCATAGAGCCAACACATTTTTCTAATAAGAAACTTTCTGAGTTAATTTTGTTAATTTTCAAGGTTCTTTTCCTCCTTTATATAAATGCTCATTTTTTTTTCTTATGGTATTGGGTGATATAAGATTTGAGAGATATAAGATTGGGTGATATAAGATTTTACAGAGTTAATATATTTAAAAATACTGAATGGAAAGCTTTGGCTTCATTTTCATGTTATTGATACTTAACCAAATTAAAAGAAACCACTGTTTTACATTCCATGATGAACTATTGTGTATAGACTTCGAATATCCGTGATTGAGAGACAATAGACATCATGTGCTTCTTGATGATGGAACCCAGTACCATCTATGAAGTAGTCTTGCTAAAGAAACTGAATCCCAGGATGATCAAGTAGCTCTAAAGACCAGTTTCTGAGACTTAGAATTGAGGGGAGCCTGTTGATTGACAATCAGAATAATAGAATTAGGGAAATCTAAACTGGGAGAATACTGTATACATGCATCTGTGTGTGTGTGTGTGTGTGTGTGTGTGCACGCGCGCACGCGTACCTACACCAGTTGTTCACCAAATTATAAAGGAAAAAAGGAGAGATGGAGAGCAAATGTAAGATTAGAAGATGCCTAAATGGCATATCAACCAGAGTTTTAATTTTTACAGATGTGTATTCACAGTTACATTGTAAAAATTTGCTGTGCTATTAGTGAAAATGTAACAGTTGTGATGGTTAACTGAATAAAAATACAGCATAGAGTCATGTGATATAAAATAACAGGATTTAGGGTGAAACTTCCCATACATTTGTGAATGTCCTGTACTTTAGAAGGTGTATCTTGAGGAAAGGTTTTCTTTTAAACACGGTATGAGATCTATGTGATATTTCTTTGAAATACATACTTACATAAGAACAGATATATTTGAAAGTATATTTATAGGTAAATTTTTGTCATTCTAATTCTTAAAGATGAGCCAAATGTATTGTTTAGTCAGACTTCTTAAAATTGCATAGTTCTCACAGGAGATTCCCCTAGTTTGTTGACACACACACACGTAATATTAAAAAAAATGGTTTGACTCTACTTTGGATTCTCCGACATCTATTGCTTTTTCTTTAATTTGAGAAATAAACATAAATTGAGTATAGATTTGAACATGTCTGTTTCTTTTAGTTTAAGATCACTCTGTGTGCCTTTATATTTTATCAGGTTTAATGACATCCATGTACCAATCCGCCTGGAATGTGTGAAATTTGCTAGCCATTGTCTCATGAACCATCCTGATTTAGCAAAGGATTTAACAGGTACTATATACATATAACAGCAAATATTACTAGATGCTCTTCAGTGAAAAAAAATCAGGTTTTATAGGGAAGAAAACTTGCAGGGGGATTGTTGTGATGGGCAAGTCTTGTTTCAGTTCATCATCTTGGACCTTATTCTTTGAAGCTAGAACTTTTACAGCATAGTTCTAATGTAGGCTAGAAGCATTTATAAAATTTGCCTTCATGAATGATACTAGTTTCTTAGTTGAAGAACAGTTCTAAAAATTTTCAAATTTTCTATTTGAACAGGTCTTGACTTAAGATAGACCACAAGACTGATGTTCTTTTAGTGTTTTAAGAACTTAGGTGAGAGTTATTTATTTGTAATCTGATTTAACTATGCTAAATGAAGATGACTTACAATTATCTGTCTAAGCATAAGGCAGTTCATGACTTTGCATTTTTGTAGCATTGAAACTATATGTTTATAATTTTTTAAAATAATGAAATAGTTCATAAGATAGAGGTTAATATAAAACAATGCCCTCTCACAAATGTTAGCATTTGCTGTGTTTAAGAGAGAAAAAGGAAAAATTTATAATTACAATCAAAATGCCTCTCACAAACTGTTCTTTCTACTTTTACAGAGGATAGTTCCACTACTGAATTTGGTCTGCATCCTGTTCATGTTTTTCTAACTTACACCCTATGTGTACCTTCCATAAAATATACATAGGTCGTCATGTGTTAAAGCATTTCATTGAAATATTATCTGAATTTGATTGAGTTGAACTTATTTCTCTTGTCTTTATATCTTTATTATATGTTTTCTACTTTGCTTTTTGTATTTTCCCTTAAAAGCTTTAACTTCCAGTACTATAATGGAGTAGCAAAACAAATCACACTTTGTAGCCAGGTGTCTGAATGAAAATGAGACATTGAATTCTCTGTGGGCTTTTTGGTTTGTTGGGGAGTTTTGGTTGTTTTTCTTGGTTTCATTTCAGCCAAATGTGTCTGCTTTGGAATTTTTTTTAAAGAATAAATTTACCTTTTTAATGTAAATGATTTAAAGTAGGCATTTATGGGTTTCCACAACTGACATTGGATTCAGACCTCATTCGCTTCCCCTTTTCTATCCTCTTCTTCCTCCTTTTCATGCTGTTGTATTGAAACTAATAAAATGGTTGCTTTTCAAATAATAATAATAAAAAAGGTTTAGCTTAATCACTCTCTCATCTCAAATTGTTTCAGTTGTTTATTCTTTTTTAAGTGTTCCTAGTTTGTAATACTTTTTTTTTGGTGGCACTGGGGTTTGAACTCAGGGCCTCACGCTTGCTAGGCAGGCACTCTACCACTTAAGCCCCTCCATCAGCCCTGTAGTACAGTTTTAACTGCTTGTCCCCCCACCTCGGACCCCCTCAACAAAAAAAAGATAAAAGTCTTGTTGTATAGCCTAGGCTGGCCTTGAACTGGAGATCCTTCTGCTTGGACCTCTCAAGTACTGGAATTACAGGCATGCACCACCATGCCTGGCTTAACTGCTTATTTTTAAATACAGAAAATGATAACATTTGTGAGGGGAGAAGTAAGTGTCTGTTATTAGTCTATATTTTATGACCTTGTGCATAATTTAAAAAATTTACACACAGCAGATTTATGATTTTCTTTGCTTGCTATTGCTTCTTACTACTACTTCTGAAAAAGAAAATCACAAAGTATATCCATTTGTAATATTTTAACAACAGTTTGTCACGGTAATACTTTTGGTTATGTTGGATTACTACTAGTTGAATATAAAAACAGCAGGTATTTTTACCAGTTTGATCTTTTCCTGGGGAGACCTCTCATTTGGTGCCTTCTATTTTCCTACTCACATCTGGACTACTTCTCTGTACGCTTCTTCTATAAAGCATTGATCCTGTACCATCTAGTCCCTTTCCTTTTCCTCCTATGTATGTCTGTGTGGTATGTGTTTGTGAGCAAGTGTTTTGTGCCTCTCCTCCTCCCTTCTTCCTTTTCTTATGGATGTTCCTTTTTTGTAGCATTTTTTTTTTTCTTCTGTTATTGATGTGTTTTTTTCCTTCTGAGACTATTGCTTTTAATTTGGGGGTGGGGAGAGTTTTGTTACAAAATACTTTCAGTAACTTATTTTTCTTAATTGCTTTTGTGTCTGTTTTCTATTAGAAACTTTCCTCAAAGTGCCTGGCAATCCGTCTGCTCCTGATTTAATAGTGAGGTCATGCTATATGAAAAGCCATTTAAGGAAGTTCTGAGTGTATGTATGATCTGAAAATTCTAAGCTCATCTTTATGGTGTTAAGGGTTGAGTTCTTTGTAGGGAGACCCTTTAAACCAGTCAGATTGCCCAGGAAGTCTGGAAGCTAAAAGTCTAGTTGTTGGTGTCTGTGGAAAAAGGAGGAAGGAGTATCTGTATTTACATTTCTGGTCTCTCCTTATAGAATCCCTCTTTGGGAATGATATCCATGTCCTCAGTTGTGTTTGGTGTCCCTCAGTTTAGAAATCCTGTGTTTTACAGTTTTCATCAGTTTATCTCCAGGCCCCTTTTCAGAGGGAATGGGGTAATCTTCTAGGTGCGTAGTTGTATTTTCTCAGCTTTCACCCAGTCTTCTCTAGCACTTGCCTGAGAGCCAGTGCCTTTTATTTATTTTTAACTGTTGTACTGGGGGTACATTGTGATATTTATAAAAGTTCGTACAATATATCATAGTTGAATTCACCCTCTCCATCATTCTCCTTTATCCCCCATTCCTGGAATAGTTTCAACAGGTCTCATTTTTCCATTTTCATA